AAGCCTTGAATAGCAAAAAGCTCTTTGCTACAAACCAGGGCCGAGTTTTGTGACAATAGCATATATTTCGATTATGCATACATATCAGATTACGTAAGCCAATGCAAAGGAAGGAAGACAGCTTTTACAAAACAATAATGATATTGTACGATGGATTAAGCCGTAACAAAGTGTTGTGTGGCCCTAATAAGTCGATTCGACACTCCCCTGATCTGGTGATCGTTGCTTTTCGCATCTCGTCGCTGGTCTTCTTTGATTCCCTCATCCCTCCATTGCAGTCGCTAATCCACGGCAACATAGAGAAAACGTTCCACCTTTTTGACGTAACTCATTAACTACAATGATCATTGCCGAGTTCGTAGAATTTTCACTAAGTCACATAATTATTCTCTTTAAAGAAGCACCGATCCTTCGCCATGACTAATGTCTATTCTACACTTAGGAGAAATTTAGACTCTTCTTCAAAGCCAGGAGTATATTCACAAGTGAACCAAATTTATGTCCTCTATAATCTTGTCGAATAGAGAATTATCAGTGTGATTTTGGTGGCTCATGCGAAGCTTCTAACGATCAGAAATACTACAGCAATGTTGCATGAAAATTGTTGACAGTAAAGGAATGGAGAAGGCGAGCCGTGATCTACCAAATTAGCAAATTCTACGTGAAACTTAAGGGAAACAGAATAAGTGTGTGTGATAACGACGGAGTTGTGAGTGATACGGCAACATGGATTGCTACACTTGGAATCCAGGGCCGGGTACTTACAAGCCCAAGGTTGATTTAACCACGACAACTGGAGCAACACACAAGATCGCCGTCAGGCTCAAGGACAAAGAGAAAGACTACATCCCAGGACCAGGCACTTACAATCAAGACCTCCGAGGCGACATCGTCGATCGAAGAGAACCAGCCTTCTCCATCCAGGGGCGGAATGAGACCTCCGCAACGGCTGGCATCCCTGCTCCAGGAGCCTACTCTCCCAGCATCAGTCTCACGATGCGCAAGGAGCCCCAGTTCACCCTCGGACCAAGAACAGATATGTACTTCGAAATCAAGAACCCTGGACCCGGAACTTACAATCCTCGAAAAATCGGCCATAGTAGCACATTCACTCTCGGCAAACGATTCAAAGCCCAAATCGACTTTAATTTGCCAGGGCCAGGTGCCTACCAGCGACCTCACTTGAATGATGACAAGTCAACGTTTACCTTCGGCAAACGTTTTTCTGCCGCACAGGCAAACCAAAATCCACCGCCTGGAACATATAACCCCCGAATTCCTAAAATCCCCTGGAAGAAAGACGGTTGCTCTATCGGCGAGCGCCACGAGTTTAGACTCGATCATGGTTATCCTGGGCCAGGCAACTACAACGACCATTACTGCGGCAAACCTCCAGCCTACACCATGGGCAAGCGATTTGTTGCAAAACATGATTTTATATATCCATCTCCGGGTGAATACAACCCTGTGTTCATCCGAGGCCCATCCGGATTCACCCTTGCCGCTCACGCCAGCATTGAACACGACTTTGGCCACCCCGGCCCCGGAGCATACAACCCTACACTCCCTAATCGGTCGGGTTACAGCATGGCCTCAAAACTTGTTGGTCAATTGCCATACAACAATCCGGGTCCCGGCTCTTACTACAATCCCAAGCGTGACAAATATACTGGCCCCGCTTACAGTATTGGCCCGCGCCACAATGGCGACTCCAGCACTGGTATTCCTGGACCAGGTTCATACAGCCCTTTTCCTGTGAAGGGGAAAGGATGTGTCATCGCCACCAAGCTCAAGGATCCCAATTGGAGTATGAAACCTGGCCCTGGGCGGTACAACTTGCGGAGTAAGGGGCTACAAGCAGGGCCGACACTGACAAGGGGGGCGGCATTTACCATGGCCCCTCGGTTGGTTTGCAAACCGCGGCCTGGTGAGAAAGGATATATTGAACCGCCTCTGAAGGTCCTCTGATCTGCGCTTGTCGCCATCGCTATGTCGCATGGACTTCTCCGAGTTTGTCCATATTGCAGAGGTGAAGGCGTTGTATTGAGTCTTTTTGGTGAGCAGCACTTGGACAATCTTGTTGGATCATGCACAATCTTGTTCAGATCATAGCTTTCAGCGAAGGTGATCAGTTCAAGCGACCCATTTAGGAACAGGCTTCCGATTTTGTAACTAAATTTTGTAGTGAATTGAACTCTTTTTGTTTGCGGCAGAGTAGATTGGTGGAGAGTACACGACTAGTAACCCATCCGATCTTGAAGAGTGCGGTGGCGGAAAGAAGAGAATTTGTTCTCCTTTAGGTCATCTGTGTATTGCAGGACACTGATCTGTGAAGAATCGTAGAAAGTGAAGTTCAAGCTTCTGTTCTTGAACAGCATTGTCGTTGTCTAACTATTGTTTGAATCTAAACTTGTGTCCACGAGATTCGAGCGTTCAAGAATAGTGTCCTTCACAAGAGATCAGCATTGCTCAACTCACTTGTTTACGACATTTACTAGCAAAATAATGGTCCTTTTTGCATTTGCCGCTAAATATCCTGTCCTCTCTTCAATTTGTAGTGGAACTATCACCTAGTAATGCTTTATTTGGTGGTCCACATAAACGTTGCCTGCTGCGCCGACAGTGTGGTGTGAGAATTCTTCCAAAATCGATTATGCACAGTTCATTTTCATCGCCTGTCAATGAATCCCACAGAGTGATAAATTTGCTCCCCCCCAGAGTCTTCGATTCTTTGAGTTGAAGATACACCAAACCATCATCTAAAGTGTCCATTGTGTTCGCGTACCGAATGGGAAAGAGTAATTTGTTAGAAAACATGCCATCTGTTTGTTCTTGTATCTCATGCTCACATGGAATGAACTATTCCCGAGGCCTGTGAGAGAATCAAGGTTTTTGGAAGAATCTGGTGTGTTGATGTGTGTAGAAAGATTCCGCTGGCAGTTGCACTTTGGCAATGAAAGCCGTGATAGCTTCATCTTTAAATAAATTTGAAAAGCACTGTAAGTTTCCGTTATATTAGTTCAAAATTGCCATGGTTATTCACGGAAATAATTTCAATTCCAATGCGTCGGAAGCAATACAGATTGTTGAAGATATGCAGCTCGTTGTGTATATGGTGTTGGTATCTCCATATTTTAACGAGGAATTGGTCGAGATGATTCATCAAGAGTTGAGAATTGAGCAAGCTTTCATTGAAACTTGTACTAGTGTTTCTTGGTTTCTCTAGTTTGCCTCGGTGTCTCTTTCAGCCTTAGTCAGTCTCCACTGTTTATGCCAGACGGCATAATTCTCTTTGTGGCTTATGCTTCCTTCATTCAACTTGTTGTTTAACTCTAACACATGCACTTGAAGATCTTGTAGCGCATGGACCTTCCGCATTACTCTTCCACAGACATTCAGATCAGGTGCTAGCGTCTAGTAACTGCTCTGTGGAATGCTTGGACTCATCTAATTTCTAGAACAGATGAGATCCTTGTCTCACCCGTTGAAAGGTGCAATCAGATTTGAAGAGTTTGATGCAAACACTTAAGGTGTGCGCTCAAAATCTGAATTATTCAATGGCTTTCATGCTGGCTCTTACATTTACTATAGTTTGTTTGCTTATTTGTCTATTTATTTATCTTTGTTTTGACTAGTTCCGACTTCTAACCTGCATGGCATCGTCTAATAAATCTCATTAACTTCTGAAGTTGATTCTATGATTTTGGTGTTCGTAAGTACGTAGTTTTTATAACAAGTTTAATTGATAAAACCAACGTAGATTATAAAAAATAGAGAACTTAACAAAATATAGATTCAAATGAATTATATGAGTTTATATATTCATATTGAAAAGGATCCTTTTCAATTACATAGTAGTATTCTGTTATTACAAGTATTTGTTGAAGTTTTCATACTTTATTTCAAGAAACGAGATGTAAATACTGACACAAATGTGTATTTCTGAAGGTAAAAATAAAAATGATGAATGGAATTTGATATAGTGAATTAAAAAAAATATTATAAAAGAGTGTATATATATATATATATATATATAGGTATAAATTTGAATATATACTCTTCAACTAAAGCATAGTTTTGAAAATCTACATGTGAAAGTGAATAAATGTAAGTAAATAATTAAATAAAAATAAAAATAATTTATTTTACAGTATACTATTTGTATTATTTTTTTTGTCAAGGTTAATGATATATTTTTATTTTAGATTTAAAATGGAAAAAATAAATATATTCTTAGTCACAAGGATCTTAGATACAGTGTGTGTTATTTTATGTTCATAAGCATTCTTTATGAATTAAAGAAACACTAAATAAGTAAAAATAGATATATTTTTTAAACACATAAACTTTGTGTTAATTCTTTCACAGTATTTAATAATTATTTTAGGTAACTTACCATTCTTTTCTCCTAAGATTACACAATGTCAACAGCATAAATGTCCAGATGTAATTTTAAGATTACAGTGCTTTTTGGATTCCAATCATAATTTTGAATTTTCTACTATTTAACTAAAATTACCATTCTTAGCTACATAAGCAATATGAGGAATAAAACATCAATTTTTAATGTTCTTAATTCTTCGCTGTAACACTTTCTAGACAAAAAAAAGAGTAAACATGCACAAACCATCAATAATTCGTAAGATGAAACCACCACTCATGTGATACATTCAATAGCGATCAAAAAAGGGGGCAAACATTCTCACCAGCACAAATAAAATTATAGATAATCTCCATTAATTAGTAAAGGATAGAGCAAAGTAAAACAATTTGCCTCCAACTTTTCATGTGGTTCAGGTTAACTTAAAGCAAAAGCCATCCTCCTAAGTGCCTTTGTAAGAGGCTCCCCTTCAATCACGCTATGTCCCCAACCCACTCGCGTTCATACCGCACGAGTGGACCTCAACGGATGCTGGGATAAGCCTTATCGGTTGGAGAATAAAAGCACAAACTTACTATTTGAACCTTCCTTGCCTGTACGCTTCTGCTGCCCACCACTCTCCAATTGGGAAAGCACTTTCCGGTTTCACACTTGAAAGCTTTCAAGGGCTTTTTCAGTTTCTAGCGTTCTCATTCGTCCGCTGCGGTGGGTGTCCTGTCCTCATTTCCGTCAGTTCCCATTATGTAGTTCCGGACGTGGAGACCGCTGGACCACGTGGATCCCCATCACAGCAGCCGCCCTTGGGACGTTGAGAACCGTCGCCGGACGCCGGACGCCAGACGGCAACTGGCGGCACCACTTGGTCCTCATGAGCCGCTGCCGCTGCGCTTTCAAATTGGAAGCTCGCTACAGTAGGCGGCGCCATTCTGATCAAGGGTGCAGCGATCTCGTCAGCTACCGTGTTGCTATTGTTTGTAGAGGTTGGGAGGGCTTGTGATGGTTGTGTCTCCTGACAATACTCCACGAATCGTTGCCTTGTTCACGCTGGGCTGGACAGTTCGCTTGTTATTGTCTGTTAAGTTGATGATCTTGGCTGTCTAATGCGACTAGGTTACGACTTGGCCTTTTTCCACTGTCCCTGTAGTGAAAGAGGAGTCGAGGTCGAGGTCGTTTTGTGGTCCCGGCCCCTGGTGGTTATTGAGATCGGTGTCTGCATTGCGGAGGTGGAGGTCGATTTCGATTTTTGTGTTGTGTGTAGACCCGTCGGCTCGTGCTTTATTGTTGCGTCGGGGAGGGACCCACCGGCGGTCGTGTGATGCAGGGCGGTTTCCCGGTAGTTTGACTTCGGGAGATCGGTTGCTCGATGCGGGAGCGTACAGGTTGTTGTTGTTGTTGTTGTGTTTTGACGAACTTGTTTCTGGAGAATTTCGGTGCCGGAGGATTGGAGTGTAATACGTTCGCTGCGGAGTTTGCGTGCTCCGTACATGTTGAACTGCAAGTTCAAGTAGGCAACGTCTGTCGCACCTAAATTTATTAGAATCTTACAAACAATTCTGTCAATATTTTCCTGCAAGGACTGTTGAAGTACATTTGGGGGACAAAGACTTAGCAATTGCTTGGAGGTCTGTAACACGCAGACTTTGTTTTAATTTTATTTTTCGTAGTTTTCATTCGGTTGGCTTTACATGTGTACATCCTTGAGAGAGGTATCCTTGTAGAGCTTACTTCTTAAGGTGCTAATCTTAGCGAAAATCCTAGAATAGGAAGCCATGGCAATGGGACTAGGTCCAATGCAGCTTCTTCCAATTGGTCGAAAGCAAATTCTTTCGGGTAAACTGCACGATAGATCTGTAGTTTGCAGAAGTAGTGACGATGGACCAGTTTCTACCAGTAATTTATTGCACAGAGATGTGTTTCAACGTTGTCGACAGCGTCATGTTCCCTTGGCTGCAACTCCAGGCTTTCTTGGCAGGCACTCCTTCAATTTAAATCGGAAGTGTGGTGTAGTTTCATGTGCGGAATCAAATATTGTTGACAGTACATTGGAGCCGGCTCCAGAAGTGATTGATGCAACGATCTCAGAGTCATCACCAGAAATCGTCGTCGGATCTTTTACTGAGTCAGGTATTGAGGTTGTGAGGTCGATTGAAGAAGCTGAAAATGAGGTACTCAAAGCTGTGTCTGACCTCGAACAAGGAGGGACATTCGGCATTGGAATTACACGCAATCCCATCACATCTGTGCTGGATGTATTATCGACAGAGGATCATAGCTTCAATGTGCAATCTCAGCTGTTAAATGCTCTAGAGCAACCTTCAGCGGTGGCAGCTTCTTGTGTGGTCTCTGAGGTCGCCAACGCGTTGAGAACTTTAGAAAGGGATGGTGGGGAGTCTCTTGAGAGCGGCGTGTTGAATTTGGTGGGTACAGAAGTAGAAGCGGGCGAGCGTGATAAGTTGTTGAGCGGACTCCAGCAACTCACATCATCAGTTGAGCCCAGCCTCATGGCGACAGAAATGGCAGATTCTTTGTTATCTACAAGTAAAGATTTGAGTGACGGTGCGTCATCTCAAGAAGAGAGCGTGATGGAACATGCCTCGGCATCTGTAGTAGAATCAAAGAACTTCTTTGAGCAATTCAAGGAAATTATTGTATTTGCAGGACCCGCACTCGGCATTTGGCTGTCCGGGCCTATCATGAGCTTGATTGATACCTCTGTCATTGGGAATAGTAGCTCCTTGGAACTCGCTGCTCTTGGTGAGTATTGAAATTTCACAGCGACTATACTATTTGGAAATCTTCTTTCAAGGCAGTAACGTCATTCAACTTATTTAGGTGTTCTCCAGCTCATTTCTTACCCTCATCTACAATGACTAACACTCCGTTTCCATGGACGTATTTGTGCCTTGCAGGGCCGGGTACAGTCATATGTGATCAATTCTGCTTCGTTTTCATGTTCTTGTCTGTGGCCACTTCCAACCTCGTTGCTACGGCTCTTGCTTTGAAGGTGAATAACTGCACCTAGGACGGGATGTCATGAGACGATGATGTCGAGAGGATTAATGCACATGGACTGCAGCAGATAGGTTTCAATACATGTTCGGTTTCAATGCATTAAATACATTCGTGCTAAATTAGTATTTCGACTGCTGCAGACGAGGCGGATGTGTTGGTTGTAACAATAGGTAATTAATTTGTGTGCTGGTAACCAGTGTTTATTAATACATCATGAACTTCGCCAACAACTGTGTGGATTTTCTACATTACTTCATCTTTTGCAGAATAGAGAAGAGGCAGCAGGACATCTTTCAAGATTGATATTTGTGTCATTGGCGTGTGGAATCGGCATGTTTCTCCTCACCTGGTTTGGAGCGACTCCTGTTATGACAGGTATGGAGCACAGTGGATTGTGTAGAACACCTTTTGGAAGTTGTATAGTCTATTCGTCCAAGCACAAGCAAGAATATATGCGTTTACTTTTCATGTGCTGCGGTTATATGTGCCGTACTTTAATTCTAGAAGTGCACAAGCAGTGGCGACTCAATGTACGAGGCATACAATTTTTTTGTTCTTTTCGACCACACTGCGGCATTCTTAGGATGAATTGAATCTACTGGTAAACCTTTCGGTCGATAATTGTCATTATGTTTCCTTGCATCGAATCGCGGACATGTTCGAATGTATGCAAGTATTTGAGGTCAGCAAATTATTTGCAGAGGTATTTTCAAGTGGTAAATGTTTCAGAATATATGTATCCTCAGCAGTCTGACCAGTTTCTGATACCACCTTTCAGCATTTGTGGGGGTCAAGAATGCTGCTTTGGTTCCCACTGCACTTCCTTACGTTCAGGTGATCATTCCCGTTCGATGTTGTAGTATTGTGACATGAATATAATCGTCGATCGAAAAATGACGTTGTATGGTCGGTTCTAGGGTCATTATAACTGGCTAATACTTTCTGACCACTCTTGTTGACTAGGTTAAGGTTAAGAATCGACAGCTTTTACGTAATGCAGCGGCTATTCTCTAACTTGCTGATTGTGTTTGTGTACGATTGTGATTGCTGTTCCTTGATGACGTCGCACTGACTGAAATTGTTGCATTAGTAGAAGAAACGCTTGGATTCTTATTGTTGATCCTTTTTTCAAGTACTTGGTTATATTGAAATATCCTTCTGCTTTTGTGTTTGGTGATGCAGATCAGAGCCTTTGCATGGCCTGCAGTGCTTGTTGGCATGGTTGCACAGAGTGCCAGGTGAGTTAACGCTCCGTCGATTTTTTCCTTTCAGTAGTTTTGTTTGAAAGATTACGTCCAACAACTAAAATGTATGCCAAGCATGTTTAAGGATAAAGTTAGGAAGATAATATAAGCAGTATTTCATTCGTCATTCACTTTTGGAATGCGACATCCTTTTAGGTGTGAACAAGGTTCGAGGTTATTTGTTGAATGGTGCGCACTGTTTTGGAAGTCGTTGTTGCAGCGGAAACTACTTAGGAATGCTATAAAATCAGAATTCAGCTTCTAGACGATCCATACTAATGAAGTGGCTTGTTCTTATTCACTCTTAAGAATTTCTTGAGTGTATGACTACAGCAACTGATTGGTAGAGATGCGTTGGCTGTGCAGTCTTGGAATGCAGGATTCATGGGCTCCACTGAAAGTACTAGCAATTGCGAGTTGTGTGAATCTTTTTGGAGACATCCTCTTGTGTAGTGTGCTTGGATACGGCATAGCAGGAGCAGCATGGGCAACAATGGCCTCTCAGGTGAGCAAAACCATGCTTATTTGCAGACGCATGACTGTTTTAGGGTTCAGGGTTGGAGTATTGACAGCGCTTTAATGAATGACAGACCTCGCATGCTTGTATTCTTGTATCGTTTTGGAGGGCCTTATATGAGCATGTTACTGTGTGTTTGTTAAGTAGCTTTGAAGTCCAATGGGCTCAAGTAGACTTCGAAATGTCTTTATTGTTAATTCAAACATGACATACAATGAGTTAACATTAGCGAATTGTTGCAGTATGTGGGAGTGATTTTGATGTTGATGTCATTGAACGACAAAGGGTACAATCCCCTTGCTATGAGTATACCTTCCGTGGAAGAATTTACCATCATGGTTAACTTAGCTGGACCGGTTCTACTCACTATGTTGTCCAAGGTAACACATCATGTACACTTGAGGCTGTTCCTGGATCCTACGATTACTTGGTTTAGGCTTTTGATTTTGTTTAAAGAATCTGTTCTGATTCGCAAACGCAAATTTCTGTAGTGTCTCTTGTTGCAATTTTTCTAAATCTCGTGTACCTTTAGTAACTGAACTTTGGTTATTGAGCAGGTGTTATTCTATACGCTCATCACTTACTTAGCAACATCTTTGGGATCGGCAACCTTAGCTGGCCATCAGGTATGAATAGGACAAGAGATGAACTATGAAATGCATTATTGTAGTTTTAGTGGAATTCAAAAGTAGAGCCTTAAGTGAGAATTCGTGTACTAATCAAGACTTCTTTAAATTGATCTACCTATTTCAATTCTACTTGTTCACTGAGATTGTCAAAACTCAAATGTATACATGTGTGTGATATTAGGTGATGATTGGGATCTATTCTCTGTGTACTACATGGGGAGAGCCTCTTGCGCAGACAGCCCAGTCTTTCATGCCTGCTCTCATCTTTGGTATTGAACGTAATTTGCAGAAGGTAATGTCATAACAATCATTAGTTACTTTTTTGATTTGTGTCGTTTTCAACTATGGTTCTTACTCAGCTCTTAAATCCAAACAATCCACTACTCTTCAGAGAGTAAATTGCACTTTTAATTGCTTTGCTAGGTTATGGTTGTGATATAGCTTGCATTCCGGTTCTCATTTTTGCGGCCGACTTTGCAGGCAAGGAGTTTGTTGAAGTCCTTGATGACAATTGGAATTGTGGTCGGGCTTTCGTTAGGGTGCTGCGCTATATCTGTACCCTGGTTTTTACCTCAAGTTTTCACCAAAGATCCCGCTATCATCTCTCAGGTATATATTGAGGCAAATATGATGGCTGTAACGTTCATGCTAACTTCGTCAACGTTAAAATTGTGACAATTTCTTCAATATTATTGACATCTATATTTTCTTGTTATTCCATCATTTTGAAGTAGGTGAGTTTGTTTATAGCTTTGTGACTAGGTGGCTAACAAGCACTCATCATTTAATATTATGCAGATGCGTTTGGTGTCAGTGCCCTTCCTTTTCAGTCTGATGATTACTCCACCTACACTTTCTCTGGAGGGCACTTTACTGGTCTACATTTCCCCATATCCCCATGTTTAAAAATGATTCATGTTTGTATTGAGTAATATATGCTCATCGTTCTTTTATGCATTACTTACTGTCGTGGATATTATGGCACTGTTGTGGATATTGCCATGATTCAAAATTATTGTGATTTGTGTTATTTAAAGTAGAGCTTGTCTTGACGTTCGTGTTGGTATTCTCTGGTAAATAATACAAGTTGCTTTATGTGCAGGCTGGTAGAGATATGAAGTATTTGGGGATTAGCATGGCCTCATGTTTCGTTGGTGGGGCCATCATGTTATTGGTGCGAATCTTGAACTGTTCAAATTGAAACCACGTGCACATTCCACTTTTAGCGTGTAGAACACTGTCTTTGCTTGTCACAATCTTACTGAGAAACAACTTAATTAGTGCCTAACTCATGAGTTACGTGGAATGGTAAACTGCAGACAATGCACAGGCTTGGGTTCGGATTAGTTGGTAGCTGGTGGACGCTTGCAGCTTTTCAATGGGTAAGATTTAATTTCAGAAATGTGTCCGAGTCTGATTTGTTTTATAATTATTAACACTTTCTGCTGTTGCAATGAGGGACATTTTGAATGTGTTGTATTCTTTACATGTGGAATCTTTTTGAATTAATGTGAAATATCGGAATTTTCAACTGCAATGGTGAGTGATAAGCAGCGATGAAAGCAAGCTTGAGTTAAGAATATTTTAAGTGTAGAATTAATGCAGTTTTGCAATAGACTCTTATTTCAAACCTTGTGTTCGCTAAGATAGCTTGAAGTAAGGTTACTTTTTCTTCTTTCTGGAAGTGAAAGAGTTCCCAAGAAAGCTATTGATTGAGATGCTTTTCCCTTGTGACAGACACGTTTCTTACAGGCGTATTCCCGTCTACATTCTTCACGGAGCTTTCTGGCTGATCCTGTGTTGTCACACGAGGGAGGTTCACTATTAAAGACTGCGTAAGGAGATGTGATGATTGCTCTAAAGCGGCAGTCTTGGCTCCCACAACACTTGGCAATGTGTTCGCGTTTTAGAGCACATTTTCTGGAGAGCAATTCATTTTGTTTTTAGACCTCACATTTGTGAACCCCTTCTGATTAAAATAGGGGTTCACTAATTCAAAGCATTTCAGGGACGTGTCGTACAGCTAGGAGCTCTTGGCGACGCTATTTCAGTCGATTTCAGAGTTCCTGTAAGGTTGTCACCGTCACCTTCCAGAACATTCTTTGCAAGAACCGTAATTTCATTATGACTGGCTTCATACCGTAAAAAGGCTCGATCATGCTTTAGTTGCAATCTATCTGCAACCTGCAGAGCTTCAAAGCATCAACATTGTACAACCTTAGAACCAGAGACCCATCTCTTGGATTTAATCTTGCGCAGGGGAAAACATTTTGTCTAGCATAGTCAGTGTCACATTTGTGACATGACATAATTTAACGTATGTACCCATGCCACTTACCATAATACAAGTATTCTTTGACAAAGTTTTTCACATTGGGTTTGAAATATCAAATCAAGAGAGTGATACTGTAATGTGCAGCTAGAGTTCCCTACCTTTTCCTAGCTTCTCGATACGCTTGTTCGAGTTTTATTTGTATGGCTGAGTTGTTAATGCTAGTGCTGTTGGTGAATATTTTCAGGTATCTAACATAACAATGTACAGGGAATCCTTGGCATCGTATCTCAGTGTGCGCTACTCTTCAACTGAAAGGTGAGAGACCAATGCCTAATATTATTTCATCACGGAGAGACCATATCCTACTTTCAATGGCGTCATTACCAACAGTACCTTTCAGTACCTCAAGTTATTTACTTAATTATTTTTTGATATGCTTCCACAAAATGTGAGGGCTTAATAGGGGCTTGGCCAACTTAAGCATTATACAAGTTGATAAGAAATGATGTTTGCTTTCACACAATATAAGTTTTGAGAAGGAAGAGATTTGATAGCAAAGTATTGGTAATGCTTTTTGGTTTAATTAGGTGTTGGCCATGATTTTTTTTGGTTCTGTTTGGTTAGTGCATTATTGGTATTGTCTCTTGGCCAAGTAGGTATTAAGACTTTTATATTGGTGCCTCATTAATGTTTTAATAAGAAGAAACTACTTCTATCCTTTATTTATAAGTTTTCTAACAGTCAATATAATTTTATCTAAAGAATTTTGGTTGATTCATTTGTCACTTGTGTAGCTCCGTAAACAACAACAAATTGTTTCTTATACTAATTAATTTTATTTATTTTTAATGATAAGATACATATAAAGAAAAATATTATTTTGTTTATGATATCTATATGCTTATATATATATATATATATATATATATATATGCACACACAGATATATTCATATGTTTTTTTGCTTCAAATAAGATAAGTATTATAAGCTATTGTAATGGTTCTTTTCTATATACATTTAATTAGTCATTGGCTTTTTTTCTTCTTCTTCCAATGATCTTTAGATTCTAAAGCTAGATATTATCAAGATTGAATTAAATTGACATTATCAATATAAATTTCTAATGCTTACCTAATACTGGTTGGCAATTGTAAGGAGATGTCTACAAATATTTTTAAATAGATCGTCAAATTTATTGAAACATAGAAAGTATACTCCACACAAGTAAGTTAGGACCAGCAAGGTTCTATTTTAACAAATAGAGTGTGGTATGAGATAATTCTTCCCATGCCAACTCTTTTCTTATATATTAGTACCAAGGTACCAAGTGCTACAACCCATATGGAATATCTCCTAAGACCAGCCCTCTCCTTGTACTCTAATACACTATAGATCAGCACCTAATCTTATGGGATATCCCTAACAACACTTGTACTCTATTGACCATTAGCAACTACTTAAAGAGTTATTTCCTTCAACATTCCCACTTTGCTATTGGTCAATTAGCTATCAATCTTAATGCCTTATTCAACTTGTTGTGTCTTTCTCTAACTAAGGCTTTTGTCAACAAATCAGCCAACATGTCTTTGGTTTCACAATACATCATATCAATAACCTCCATCTCTATCTTCTCTCTTATGAAATGATGCTGAATATCAATGTGCTTGGTTCTTGCATGATGCTTTGGATTCTTTACAAAAGCAAGACATCTTTGATTGTCACACCTGAATGGAGTCGCCTCCAATTGCACAAGTCCAATATCTTCCAATAACAACCTCAACCAAATTGCCTCCATTGCTCCATGACTTGCTGCCATATATTCCGCCTCCATTGTGGACCTTGCAATGGTTGGTTGTCTCTTGCAATTCCAAGATATGGCTCCCACTCCAACAAAGAATACATAGCCCGTTGTTGACCTTCTATCGTTTGCATCTCTAGTCTAATCCGCATCACAATATCCATGTAATGTAATATTATTTCTTCCAAGACATAGTTTGAGGTTCAAAGAGCCTTTCAAGTACCTCATGATTCTCTTGATGGTTGTCTAATGCATAGGACCTGGTTTTGCCATGTGTTGGCTTACAATACTTATTGCAAATGCAAGATCCATCCTTGTGCCTACTATTGCATACATGAGTGAGCCTACTGCTGCCTTGTATGGTATGCCTTGCATTTGATACTCAACTTCAGCATACTCCTCATCTGTGAGCTTCATCAACTTCAAGTTGGCCTCCAAAGGAATTCCAATGGGCTTGCAATCTCCCATGTTGAATCGTTTCAACACTTCTTCAATGTACTTGCTTTGGCTCAATGTGATAGTCTTTGATTCTCTACTTCTTGTGATTTCCACACCCAAACAATAATGGAGCTCTCTCAAATCACTCATTTCAAACTCTCTCTCCAATTTCTTCTTCAACCAATCCAATCTTACCATAGTATTGCTTAAGATGATTAAATCATCTACATAGAGGATCACAACCAGCAAGAAGTCATTGGCTTGGAATACATACAAAGAATGGTCAGCTTCACTCCTTACAAAACCTTCCTTTACAAAGAATGAGTCAATGCGTTGGTACCATGCTCTTGGTGATTGCTTGAGTCCATACAATGACTTCTTCAACTTGCAAACAAGGTGGTGTTTGTCTTGTTCAATAAATCCTTGAGGTTGCTCCATGTAGATGTCTTCTTCCAATTCTCCATTCAAGAATGCTGTCTTGATGTCCATTTGATGTATCTCAAGGTCCATTGATGCTCCAATTGCTACTATGGTTCTAATAGTGGTGAACTTGGCCACGGGTGCAAATGTCTCATTAAAGTCCACTCCAGCAACTTGTGAGTAGTCTTTGGCAATCAATCTTACCTTGTACCTCACAACATTACCCATAGCATCTCTTTTGGTTCTAAACACCCACTTACATCCAATTGCTGATCGATTTGGTAGAAGTGGAGTCAACTCCCATGTCTCATTGTCCATAAGAGATTTGTATTCTTCTTGCATGGCAATCTCCCACTTCATTGCATCACCACACTTCATTGCATCACACAAAGTCAATGGATCATCAAGAAGAGCAACATTGGCATGGTCTTCACTTACTTGTGAAAAGATGTAATTCTTCTACCATTCACCTTATGGTCTTTTCTCATGTGTTGGATATCTTCTTTCATGCAAAGAGGATGAGCCTTCATGCACCTCTTGCTGCCTTGTATGGCTCATGGAGTTCTTTCTCTTACTCATTGGTTGGTATTCTTCATCTTCATTCTCTTCATTGTCCTTATTGTATCTTCCTGGAATTGAAATCTTTATAGTATTGGACTCTTCTATCATGGCATCTTCCTCTCCTTCTTCACTTTGAGAATATTTTTCTTCATCTTCTTGTTTGTTTGCTGAAATTGAAGATGTGTCTACAATCACACCACTACTCCCACTTGGACACATCTCCCAGTTTTCACTACCACTCTTACGCTGCAAGAATTCTACATCACGACTTTTGATGATCTTTTTGGTATCTAAACACATGAGCCTACATGCCTTGGTGCCTTCACAATAACCAAGGAATACACATCTTGTGCCCTTTGCATCAAGTTTGCCTCTCATACTATCTGGAACCTTGACATATGTAATGTACCCAAAAATCCTCATGTGAGATATGCAAGGTTTGTTACCAGTCCAAGCTTCTTGGGGAGTCATTCCTTCAAGTGCACTTGTGGGACACCTATTTCTTGTATACACGATATTTACCACAGCTTCCGCCCAATACTCATACCCAAATTTTTGAGCATGAATCATATTCCTTGTCATCTCCACAATAGTACAATTTGCTCTTTCAGCAACTCCATTTTGTTGTGGGGTGTAGGGAGTGGAGGTTTATCTTGCAATGCCTTCATGCTTCAATAACTCATCAAAGTGTTTGGACAAATACTCACCTCCATTGTCTGATCGCAGCACCTTAATCTTGTACTCACATTGCTTCTCCACAAGTGCTTTCCACTCCTTAAACTTGGCAAAACACTCACTCTTGGCCTTGATGATATAAATCCATACCTTCTTTGAGAAGTCATCAATAAATGTGACAAAGTACCTTGCTCCACTCATAGATGGTGTCCTCATAGGTGTACAAACATCCGAATGCACAAGCTCCAGCAATTGGTTTGCTCTTGTTGCAACTCCACTAGGAAATGGTGTCCTATGTTGTTTGCCTTGAATGCATCCCTCACAAGCAAGATTCATGGGAGAATGGCCAAGGTCTAAGCCATTTACCATGGATTGAAGCTCCTTCATGCTTTTGGCATTCAAATGCCCAAGTCTTTGATGCCAAATGCCCACCTTGTCTTTATTTGATGGAAATTCAGCAAAGGCAGCAACCTCCACTCCATTGATCCTCTTGTAATTGATAATATAGAGATTGCCATCCCTAGTCCCTTTTGCTACTTCTTTGCCTTCCATGGTTCTCACAAAACATCCATTCATATTAAATTGCACTTTGCACCCATGAGTTATAAGTTTATTCACCGAAAGGAGGTTCTTCTTCATCTTTGGCACATGCAACACATCCTTGAGAGTGATTCTCTTACTTATGCCCTTCACCACCACCTCCACTACAATGGTGCCCATTCCAATAGCTTGTACCATACCATTATCACCTAACCAAACCTTGGTTGCTGGAATTGGTTGATAAGTATTAAATGAACACTTATATGGAGTCATATGTTTAGTACATCCGGAATCTACAATCCATTTGCTCATATCAAGCATGGAAGGAGTTTGTTTTGCCATGAATACAAAGTCTTCACCTCCATGGTCATGAAAAGCATTGTTGGCATTCTCTCTTTCTCCTCTCTTTGCCTTGAAATAATTTCTAACAAAATGGCCTGGTTTTCCACAAATGTAACAAGTTTTAGGAGGATAACGTTGAAAAGAGGCACTTGCCTTACTTAGTCTTGTAAATAGTGTTGATTGCTCCCCAATAGACTCCTTTTGCTTTCTTTTGGTCACTTCATGGACTAGTCTTGCCGTGATATAGTCCAAAGTAATATCTTTCCTTGAAATGGACTCCAATGCCACAATGAAGGAAGAATAGGAGTCCGGAAGGCTTGAGAGTAATGTCATCACAACATCTTCTTCAAGTAAAGGCTTGTTAACAACAGCAAGTTGGTTTGTAAGTGTTTTTATCTTATTTACATGAGCCATGAGATCTTCACCTTCTTCCATCTTCACGGTGAAGAATTTTTACCTTGACCATAGCACATTCGAGAGATTCCTTCTTTCATAGACATTGCAAAGAGTCTTCCATGCATCTGCTGCCCCTTTACAAGAAATGACATGAGCAAAGTTGCTTTCATCTAAATTAGTGGCAATTATGCCAAAAGCCTTCTTCTCTCGTCTTTTGAAGTCCTTTTGCTCCTTGATACTTGCCTCTACCCCACGTGCAAGTTCCTCCTCATCTACTATCTCCCAAAGATCCAATGATGCCAAAAGTAGCTCCATTTTGGCCTTCCAATGGTGAAAGTCGTCACCTCTAAACTTTTCAACAACTCTTAAGATATCACCCTCAAAAGATGCCATTTCAAGCTACAAGTAGGTCCAAAAAACTCTTGATTTGGAGTTGTAATGTAAAAGATATGACTACTTAAAGATTGCTGAACTATAAATCCAAAATTCGCTGTTTTGCAACTTTTTGCATATTTTGAGTCCAAATTACGTCTAAATGGTGGGGAATGGTTTGTAATGTGATTTTATGACTTTCAAACGTCTCTCTCACGTCACTTCACTCAAAATGACTCACTTTCTCATAAAACTCTCAAATACTAGTACTCCTTCAGCAAAGACACTATCAAGGTCTTGCACTAAGCTCATACACTCACAAATCCAGGAGCAATGACTTCAAAAATTCACTAGCAACACTCTATCATAAGATCTCAACCACCAAAAACAAGCAACAAAGAAATAATGCAAGAACAACTTACTTGGTAAGAGAATGTGGACCCATAACCTATTAAAACATAGAAAGCATACTCCACACAAGTAAGTTAGGACCAACAAGGTTGTACTTTAACAAATAGAGTGTGGTATGAGATAATTCTTCCCATGCCAACTCTTTCCTTATATACTAGTACCAAGGTACCAAGTGCTACAATCCATATGGGATATCTCCTAAGACCAGCCCTCTCCTTGTACTCTAATGCACTATAGATCAGTACCTAATCTTATGGGATATCCCTAACAACACTTGTACTCTATTGACCATTAGCAACTACTTAAAGAGTTCTTTCCTTCAACAAAATTTCATCCACATTGATAAGTTTGTAGTACCAATCGTGAGATTTTTTATGTTTGAAATATAAAGAATTAAAAGAATATGAAATTAAAATATGAAAAAAGACAAAACTGATAATATCATATTACCAATGTAGGTAGTAGTTTAAATTATGTTAAAAAAATAAAACATAAAAATAATTCTTGCAAGTGGCATTTACATTATGTTATCAATATATAATTGCATTTTTGCAATTTATATTCGAACCCTAATTTTATTTTTATTTTTTCCTAGAAAACCTTTGTTGATTAGTAAAATCGTATTAGCAAAAAGCATCTACAACCTACAATCTATTTTGTCAAATCAACATTTGTAATATGAAAAAAAAATTGCAAAAATTAATAGAATACTTGTATTTTTTATATTGTGCATATAAAGGATGTTAATTCTTGTTGCAATTGTATATTAGTGTTGCATCATCAAATCCTTACTTTGGTATAACCTTGCTTTGTAAACTCCATTCTTGATTAAAAAAGATTCTTTATGTAGACAATTCTTAAAAGATTGCTTCAAAAAATTCCTATTACTAACTTTGATAAAATACTAATAATAACCAGAATTAGAATATTATAAATAATTTTGAAAATATCCAAAAATATATGTCTATAATATGTAATTTGAGTAATAGTTAATTAAAAAAATAAAACAATATATTTGTTATCAAAATATTCATTTTTTAAATTTACACTAAAATGGATAATACCCAAGGGAAACTACAATCTAGGGTGGAGGCTGAAACACAATCAGGATTTTGTTTTGTTTTTTATTTTCCCTTTTTATACTAAAACTAAAACTATCTTTTATGGTGCTTGCATGAACAAGCAGGATACTAAAGATCTGATTGAGTTACAAATATGAGTTTGAAAGTTTAAAGAATTATATTAAATATTCATGTGTAATTAACTGGATATTTTTGTCCACCATGTATAAAGAAGAATTCGTACAATTGAGACATTCATATATTGACATATTATACAATGTATGAATTAAAAATGTTTATAAGAATGATTTTTTAATTCATACATTGACATACTATTGCTTGCATATTATCCGTAGAAATTACGTTATTTTCAAGTATTAATGTTATAATTCTCATAAACTACGAAACAAAAACCTGATTCACTAATCTAATCATGCTTGGAATAAGTGAAACAATAATTCTCAGAACTTTTTACAAGACAACTGTTATGATGCTTTGGATGTCTGCTGTCTTTAATTTAGACTGACCTCTGACCAAAATATGTTGATTTGCACTCAAAAAATTAGTTCTCTTTCACAAAAAGGATCAAACAGAGTCTCACATGAATCAAGCCTATACCAATTTGATATCAACACTGAAATGCTGTGTCAAGGATTAGTAAGGCACATACAAAGTTCGAAATAAAAATACCACCAGTTCACGAAAAAGTTTTGAAGCAGCTTGTGGGTACTTATTTAGTTCAATTTATCCAACGAGTTGTGTTGATGCAAATCCATGAGTGACTTGTACTTAAAAACCAGGAACCTTGCATCTCATCAAGAAATAGAAATTGAGGGGCTTGAATCTGATTGATGGCAAATTTATGATGGGCTCAACACCTAATTGGTTTTCTCTCTATACAAAGCTTCGCAATGAGGAGTTCCTACAAGTAAGAGTTTTTGGCCCAGTGAAAGGGTTTTTCAAGCTGCCGACGTTGCTCAAAATGGATCATCAGGGCCACCACAATGTGAAGCAGGAATGCTAATAGATTGTTTCTTACATAGCAAGCGAAACTCATGCGGTTTTTAAAGACACAAGACACGTGAGCCCATGTCTTCACCATCTTGCCAGCATTTTCGTCTCGGAAAGGATTTCACGAGTTAAACGCTGGTATAACTTTCCCTCTGCACTCTCCGAAGCCCACATTGAAACCGTCGCCCTGAAATGCATGGATCTCATCAGAAGAACTATCAATATGGTCTAAACTCTTTACATGCACACAACAATCTCGACACAAATATAAAGAGGTCAACATGGGAAGATTGTTATCCATTTCTATGGATAAAAAGAATTAAGGAAAAAAAAAGGACAAAAGAATCTCTTTACAGAAGAGAGAATCTGAGAGGATTTTCAATGACAGCATCGAGTGTGGAGCACTCATGAAATACCTCACAAACTGCTGACATGACTACTTCGTCCCCATCTTTTAAGAATCTCCGAACGCCACCATGTTCTAATTTGACTTCCCTAGAACCTGCCACTGACATCTCCAGCAAAGAGCCCAGGCTTCCAAAACTCTGTTCATGAAACCCTCCGTTAGTGCATCATGTCTTTTGTGCAACCACGGTGAACACATCCAGAAACATGACGTGGTTTTTTCACTAGCCAAACACACAAATGTACGTACATCCCCGAGTTATTGCTACTACAAAACTTAAAAGCTTATCAAATAGCAGAGTTAACTTTGAGACTGAGGCCTGAATGCTAAACTTGACTCGATTGAAAAACTCTCAGATCATACACACCGGTCCGCTAATGGTCCCTGATGCCAATAAGTCTCCAGTATTCAGGTTGCAGCCGTTGACAGTGTGGTGAGCCAATTGTTGGCATACCGTCCAGTACCTACAAACATGTGCCGATCTCTGCTTTAAAAGGGAGTTACTTACAAAGAGGTACAATGTGAATTGAGAAAGGACCTCTGAAACATAGAGAATGACTTGTAAAAAACTGTCCGAGAAGCATGGCCCCAAGCGTGACCATGTTCTGTAAATGCTGTAAATATCAAAGAGGCTATCCTCCAACTCACAAGTATTTGAAGTTGGTGTTGGAAATTACAGAAGCTTTTGATTCACCCTTGGGTCTAATTGCCACCTGCATCCAAGACATGATAAAACCTCCAGCATGGTACTGTAGACGTGAAATTTCTTTCGTGCTTGAAACGTCCAGAAACAACCAAGAATGAAGTAGTCTGCAACCTACATGGTTCACAATTTGCGTAGCAATATAACAATTCTCGATTTGCATGAGATCAGAACGTATTTGAGACAGGATAGTAGCAGGAGAAGTGAATCACCTGCATTGGAATGTCGTAAGTGAAGCGGTTCTTCTCTGTCAAATACTGGAGTGCAGGCGGATCCTATCAATGGAGCACAAGAAATACTTAGTTTACACATCCTTCTTCCGCCTTTGAAACTCATACTGGCAGGTATTAGTGTCTTTCAGCTTGAAAGGCAAAGATGGCGTTCCACAAACCGATACAACATGTGGGTGAATTTCAGATACTTGAATTACAAAATTTATGAATGTAGTCGTGGTGACTCTGGTAGAAAGACTTACTTGAGAATACGTTCTCAACCGGAAACAAATAAGCATAAGAAAGACACTAACCTGCTCGGGTGCATCACAAATGAATGGATCGAGAGCCTCCATTGTCACAATCCACGGCGAGATTGTTGTTCCTGCAGCATACAATCACAATCTAAAATGAGAACGCTATTATCAAAGCCGTTAATAAATAAAAATAAAATCTTCAGCACCGTATTAAAGCACCCGAGTGTTGGCCGATCATAAAATGATAAAGTTTTGCATAGTGATAAGATTAAGGTACGCACCAAAGCTCTTTCCAAGGAAGGGTCCTAGTGGCACATACTCCCATTTCTGTATATCTCGTGCTGTCGTCCAAGTCACCAACATGTCAACACAAATTTCACGGTACGTCGTGATTGTAATAATAGACATTATTTGATGAAAAGCAGATGCCAGTATTACACTCAAGCAGGAGCTTCCTGAGAATCATCTCTAAAGCCTTCTCAAATACGTTCATTAGTTCGCCTGGGAGTTGCATAAGGAACACAAGAGCTCAAAGAATTGGGTACACAATAGCACCACGAAGAGGAAATCAACATACCACTCCAGTCGTTCATTATTACAAAACCAAAAATGTGGTCGGCAGCTTCATCCACGCTTACAGGTTTTCCCAGCTCGTTTCCTGGTCCAACAAAAGCAGCCTGCAGAGCACTTCCCACTTCACTTAAACACAAAGCGTGCTTCAACCAACGTCTCTAATGTTGGAATCATTGTTACAATATCCACTCTGATTCAGACCTTGACCGACCTAGAAACCAGACATGTTAAAAAACGAAAACTCAAAGAGTCATGCATTGGGACGATGCGTACCATTTCCAGCTCGAAGTCGAGAAGAGCTGAGGGTTTGAATTCTGGAGCATTTTCCCCTGGTGGTGGAGAGGTTTGGCCTCTGCAGGACTCAACATAATATAGCCATTGTTGATATCAATAGTGTAACCCACAAAGATCATGCAGAAAAGTGCAGTTACCAGATCTAGTAGGCTTAAGAATAAATTAGCGGCTTAAGAGGCTGTAGGATTGGTCATAAACCCCCATTACCTGGGTCTTCTAATATCTGTGCCTGATATCACCACTGAGGATGCTCGGCCGTGATAACCAATGGGAACATGTACCCTGCATTAGAAAATCCATATGATTTATGGTAGGAATAAATAAATATATATATATATATATATATATATATATATATATATGCATGTTTTTTACGTTAATGAATAAGTAAACATCCTTGGTAGAATTTTGATGAAGGCCTTTGGGAAGGTCAAACAAAACCAGTCATCTCTTTCGATGCGACAAGAAACCGTTTCGTCAAGCACGTTGAGTCACTATATACTCAAACGCAGGAGGCTCAACATAAGCTCAACAATAATAACCAAACATATTCTGCGTAGCGATACTAGCAATTCAAGTTCCTTTGACGTAGCCGCAGAAAGAATTGCCGAGAACGACTGATATGATTGTGCACGAGTTCCTCAAAAACTAGTTGAGCACATCACGACATCACCGTTTTCCTTGAGCACATTTTGACGAACAAAACTCAGATTCAACAGTTCGTACTAAGGACTTCGATAAATGGAGCAGTCTCCAACGCAGCCATCTCAGACTCAGGGACAATGGCGTACCAGTTAGGAGGGAGTGCATCCTCTTTGCCTCCTCGAAAGATGGTGCCGCAATTGACGGCGTGCTCCTTGGAGGAGAAAAAATCAGTGTAATCGCCAATGACTGCTGGCATCACCATAGTAACTTGATTCTGTTCGCCATACAATCAAAAGAGGATCCACATCTTAACGTATGCTGATAAATAAGTTTTAATTCAAAGCAATGGTATTTGAAATTTGCAGCGTATTCGAGTCGCTGACAGTAGCACAAATAAGAGAGAAAATGAGAAGTTTACCATGGGTAGGATCGCCTTCGATCGTAAAACATGGTCATCCCTAAGTGTTGGCTCCCCATCTGCGGAAGAAGACATCACAATTTGTGTCAGGAACAAAAGTCTTCCACCAAAAGAGAGCAACCTTGGTCATGGCATTCGCCGATAATAGTTACCTCAAACTCGATCAAACGAAACTCACGCACGCGACTCAGCTCTTCATTCTTTTGCTCTTACAATTGAGGTATTAACGAAACCCAAACGTCAGAATCCTAACCAGACAACAATTTCTGTAAAGTTTTGCGTGCCTCCTTCCACGCTGGTCTTCCAAGCGCCATGAACGCATTCAGTGAAGTCTGTCAAAGCAGCATCAAAACCTTATCAGAAAACGAGGTTCTTCTAACGGCATTGCACTGTTTAGCGATTCGTAGCACATGCCATCAATGTGGCAATATCCCGTCAGAACGGGTAATTTCTTCACACATTCACAAGCTAATTTCTCTATTGAGATGAAGCTAATAGAGGGAAGGAAGTTTCAATCGTGCTTCATCAAAAGCTTGCAACGCATGCGATTGAGAGTAGAATCCACTGTCGCGCTCTACGTCTCTGTACAAACTTGTCCAAGAAGAGGAAAACCTTGAAGCAATGGCCTGCGAAAGAAGCAGTAAGTGGGGGCAACAGCAAACCTGGGAGAAGCAGCTGGAGGAGGAAAGCAAAGGGCCCTTGAAAAGACCGGCTTCGGAGAGAACCGAGAGATCTACAACAGAATCACCAATTGCCACTCCAGGCCGAGGGGAAGCGCCAGCGCTCGGCCGAAACACCCCATATGGCAGATTCTGAATAGGGAACTGGGAGCCTGGGCTCACGTCCACGAACGACTTCATCAAAGACGCCATTAAATCAGACGAACAAACAAACAAACGAACATACAAACACTCTCTGTCTCTTTTTCTCTCACTCTTATCAGTTTATGATTCGTCTTGAGCTTCAGAAAGCGCCGTTTTTATTGGGCCAGGTCAAGCAAGAGCAACTCGATGTATGCGTGGGTCGAGAAAAAGTGCTCATCTTGCTTTCAGAAAAATCACCATTTCGACGCCGCTTTTCAACGCTCCTGGACGGGCTTTGCATCGACCGAGCTCTTCCTTTTTGTTTTTTTTTTGTTTTTTTGGTATTTTTAAAATTTTCCGGACGCCCTTCTCTCATTACCACGTCATCACCGCCGTTCACACACCCCAACCTCCATTCTTTAGTGGTGATAAAAGTGGGAGTTTTGGGTCAAAGGTGGAACCTTTGGTGTGAATCCTTTTTGGGGTTCTTGTGTGTCATGGGTTTGGAACATGCTGCTGGGTTTGAATGGAGTAGGGGTCATGTTTAATTGGAGGATTGGGAAGGGTTTGTGGAGTTGATTAGGAGGAATATGCAAAAAAATAGAAAGTAAAAAGTAAAAAAAAGGTCGGAGGTTTGTTTTGCAATTATTTTGCACTACCACTTTGCACTTTTGGAATTTTCTTTTGAATCATTTCGAAATAATACAAGGACTAATATTACAGTATGATTTCCTCTGGGTATGCTGTATTAAAAAAATAAAAATAAAAAGTTAACCTAAATTTGTTTAGGAGGATTTTTCTCCTCTAATTTTAAAATATCATAAACAAAAACCCAAATTTCATATACTTGTAATAATAATAAATGTTTGCCAATACCAATATTTTTTTGTATTTTTGGAATTTAATAATTTTGGAAGATTTATTTTTAATATTGTATTGGATTTTCACCAATTTAAAATTTAAGTACCTGTTAATGTGTTTACTTGATTTTAAAGATTCTTATTAAAAATAAAAATGATTCAGAGTGCTTTGAAAAATATATTTCGAAACTCAAAGAAACATTTGGATAAGAAAAATCTACAAATTCAAACACAAGACAAATGAATTTGATGAAATTTATGACTTACTTTTTTATACAGTAATAATTATTATTAAAGTTTAAAAATAAAAAAATAAATAAATAAATAAATAAAGTAAAAATAATGAAATATATTCAAATACGTTTGATGAGTTCATAAAAAGATACCAAGCACAAATACCAGTTATTAGAAATAACTTTTAATTATAATACAAATCATTATAAATAAATTATGCTTTATAATTGAACAGCTTGGTAGCTTAATAAATTTAAAATTATTAAATTTGTTTATATAATTTTTAATTTGGTAGCTTGGTATTTACAAACAGAAGATACCCAACAAAACAAATACTATTGGTTAATTTTTAAATATTAAAGTATTGAATTACATAAATTTTATTAAAAATTATATTATTTAGTCATTTCTTATTTTAGTGATGTTTTTACTTTCTTCTTATTCCAAGCTTCAAATAAAATACCTTAAATTAATATAAGTATAAAAAATATATTACTAATTTATTTAATATTGATTTTTTTTATAATTTTTTAGTTATAAAATTACTTTAATCTAATTATGTAAATAAGAATGTCATAAATAAGCTAAAAATAATTTAAAAGTAATTTAGGAATAAATTAAAATTAATCCAAATTGACATACTTTTAATTTTCATAAATATTAAAAAAATATATAAATTAAGGCATGTGAGTAGTCGATCCTTCATATAAAATGTAATTTAACACAATGATAATTTGATGGCCATTAGCTTCAATCATGTATTATGATCCTTGGCTCAATAAAAGACACAAATCTTAATTTGGACTCTTTAGTGTTTAAGGCTAGAGATGAGGCAACCACCTATAGGTATTAGAGAAAGAATATAAGAGGCTTCATAGGCTCATTTGGTCAAAACTTCTTACTTATTTTTAATAGGTAAATTCATGTCAAATTGCCACTAGATTTTTTAAGCAACTTTAATATTTTTTTAGTATTCTTTTTTATTTTAAAAAATAATTATTAAAAATTTAAGTGAAGATTTGAATTTTTTCTCACTTTAATATATAAAAAAAATTCAAAGTTTAAAATTTAGACAAGGAAGAAATCTCTAATTTATAAAAGAGTGGTTTATTAGCTTCATAGTTTGATAGCTCAATTTTGGAAGGCTCTTAGTTACTACTTATAGGCTAAAAAGTAATGAATTTTTTTCTCTGAAAGTGATAATAAAATTTAGTTTTAAAAGATTAATAATTGATTATATTGGAGCTTAGATGTGATAGGAGGGTTGATGCTTGTGGCAAATGATGTGATGCCTTATATTCAAGCAACTAATAGAAGGCACAACTTTAGAAGATAAGATTAAGAAGATTAAGGCAAAACAAAGGTTTCATTTGTGCAAGAAGGAACCATTTTAAGTCAATATTTAAATAAGCTTAGGTTTATTAAAGGGCAATGAAAAACCAATTCATCAAGCTTAATTTTATAAAAATATTTGCTATCTGGCAAAATTAGAACAATAACTTTGAAGGGAAATATGGGAGCCAAACAAGTAAATTTGAAGTCAAAGATTTAAGGATTAGTGCACCTTTAAGTCTTAAAAATATATGATTTTTTCACAAAAAAATAGTTGAATTTAATTTAAAGCTTGAAGTTAGCTGCCATAAGTTGATTTGTGAAGATGAGTGCAACAATAGGTTAAGAAGTATCATCCCTTCAATTCTTACTTGAATGATATTATTAAACCATTAGTCAATTATTATAGATGAATCTTAGATAGAAGACATAAAGAACGTTGCCATAAAACATGATTTGCTATCTCGGAATACACTGGGTATCTAGCTATAGAGAATTTAGCTTAAACTTTTATATGAATCTTGTCTAAGCTTCCAAAACTCCTTTATTTTGCTCAAAATTCAAAATATAGCAAAATCTCTTCAAAACATATTTTTCCCGCGAAGTGTTTTTTCTTTCCAAACTTTAGAAATTCATAACTCTTGATCTAACTGTTCAATTTGTCTCAAACTTATAAAGTAGATATAATTTACCTTCAAGTTTTACTTAAAAAAAAACCAACCACAAAATCACTTTCAATCTTTTGGAATCTAAGAAACCCTAGCACATGCTCTAAACCCTAATTTACAAGCACCCAAGCACCATTTTCTTAATATCTCAAGAACCCAATACTCAAATACCATCAAACTTATTTGCAAAGTTTATTAACATGAATTTACACATTTCCTAAAATCTTGAGCCAAAACCTTCTCAAATTGCTCAAGATATAATAACTAGTAAATTGGGTCACTTACTACTCTTAGATTGCATGTGCTGAATTCAAAATCCAATATCTCCTTCACTTTAACTTAGAATCCAGAAAATAGTATAAAAAAAGTATAGTTGCAAAAGTGCTCTCTCTAGTCACAGTTGCCGATCCTCAATTGCCCTCTGCACGCGTGCATTATTTCAAAAATAGTGACAATAGCTCCCAAATCAACACCTTAAGTTTGAGCACCTATATCTCCTTCATATAAACTCCAAATCATACAAGATTTGCACCAAAACCATAGTCAAAAACCTAAACTTGCTGATCCTAGCCTTCAAAGCTCAAATGGCCCTAAAAAACCAACTCTAATCTCTAATATGGCCTCAGGTAGCTTCCCCAAAGCCTATTGGTCATGATTTTTGACCAATAGGAATGGAGATTTTCATCATCCATTTCCATTCATCTATATGGATGCCCTAAACTCTCTTTGCTACTAAAACCTTTCTTCAACCCTTTTTCTTATAAGATTTATATAATTTATGCTCTAAACACCAAATAAGAGAACCAAAATAAGTTTTCAAAAGTCACCAATGTCTAACAAAGGTGACTCTAAATATTTAGAAGTTACTATCAATCAAAACCAATCTTAAAAGCTACTATCAAAAGAAAATAAATTTATACAAATTCTAATAGTAATCCTTTTAAACAACCTCCTTTTAAAGTAGTAATTTAACCACATTCTACAACCAATTAAAATCCAGTAACATGACTCTCACTATATTGTTAAGTAAATTTTATATTAAATACATAATCACTTTATTTTCACATGGTAGTCGAATCACAACATGACAATGTAAACATCAATTTGAATAAATAATCAAATAAATAGATAAAGTTTTTAGATAGATGTAATATTTAGATGAAGTTATGAATTTAGATATGATGTATTGTATAGATGAAAATTAAGATGACATCTATTGTATAAATTGGATGAATTTTTATTAAATAAAACTTTCTTAGATGGATATATGAATCTTAACTAATTAATAAATTAATAATTTAAATTGGAATAAAAATAATAATAATTAATATTAAATAAATAATTTAATATTAATTTTTATCTAAATTATTTTAGACATTCAATTAAATGCTTTCAATTTCTTTCATAATTAACTTTTGAATAGTATAAGATGTGATCTTAAAAAAATTTATTCTTTATAAAATGTTCTATAGAATTTAATAAAAATACTAATTTTATAAATTAAAGATCATTATTTATATTAAATTTATTTTTTCTTACACATTAAAGAATTTTTAGGTCTTATAAAAAAATATTTACTTTAAAAATAATATACTAGAAATTTTTAAAGTTAAAAAATAAATTTGATAGAAAGATAATATTATAAACTATTATAATTTCTTATTTAATATTTTCAAATTTGATCTTATAGGAAAAAAAATTATATATAACATCTTTATTTTTGTTACTGTATAAAAATCTCTATTTTTTTATTATTTCAAAATAATTTAGTATGCTTCAATATTTGAAGGTATCTACTGAAAAGAAATAAAATTTAAAAAAAATAAATGTGATGACTTTAAAAAGCATGTAATTATGCTTTACCTATTTGAACATATAAGCACCCCTTAAAGTAATAAGTTTTTTCTTGAATATAAACTTAGAAGTATTATAAGATTTTTTAAAATTATTTCTAATATCATATTTTAAAAAATCTAAGGACATACTTAATTGAATTTAATTAAGAAATATTAAATCAAAAATTAATTTTGATTTCATTATTCAAAGATAAAATTGTTTTA